TGTGTGTGTGTGTGTGTGTTTGAGAGAGACATTATGGTTATATATGCAACGCCACAGGGTTTTGCCCGTGGCTCCATCTGATATTTAGTCATGTTTGGTACCAGGATATTTTTGGCTCTCCCCTGAGACCCCAGACATAATTCATCTGACTTGTTCCATGATCCTTATAGTCTAGCTTGTCATTCTCCCACTGCTGTGTCTGTCACAGATAATTCTTCACCACTTTCTATCCAGGGGATGATTTTTTGGAGGGAAAAGCCTTATGGAAATGTTTGTTATAGCTTTTATTTTTAATGTAAAAGAATTAGATTTTACATGAATGAATTTGTCTTTGTTGTTGAACCAAGTCCTCTATGTTTCATTTTTATTCCTTTCTTGTTCTTTGTCTGTGTCTCTTTCATCATGTAAATTTCTGTCTTGGCAGTAATGAGTTGGATTCACGTCCACTCTCCTTCACTTTGCATCCATAGATCATGAGTCATTGTTAGGGTGGACTGCTGAGTAATGCTTTGCCTTGCAGAACTTCCTGGCCTCTGTGACCTCTAACCGGCCCCTGTGTGTGTGTGTGTGTGTGTGTGTGTGTGTGTGTGTGGTTGTGTGTGGTTGTGTGTGTGTGTGTGGTTGTGTGTGTGTGTGTGTGGTTGTATGTGCTGGCTATGAATATGCAACTATTGTAGCATCTGAGCAGTTTTATCTCTGTTTGCCTCCCTGACGATGACGCACACTGACATTTAAAATCTAATTTCAGTAAAACTGTTGCAGGAACCTGCAGGGCCCTAAAGTCTAGAGCAAAGTTGAGATAAATAAAGTTAAAGTTATGATGTCTGATCTATAAAAAGACGACGGCAACAGTCATAATGTTCTTTGTGTTTCAGAGTTGGAAAAAATATACATAAACATCCTTAGAAAATATACAGAGATAGGAAGTGAATATTAAAAATGCTACAAAGGCAAGAGGCCCATCTCCAAAGTACAAAGGAAGTTTCACCTTTTTTCTCAAAATAACACTTTCTTTTTTTGACTGTTGCCATAACCAGCGATTTATTGCAGTCGGAGTGATTTGCTTATGAATGTTGTTGCAGTTTTGCGGAATGTGTTTGATAACTCAGCATTATTTAGCACAGCAGACCCATCCCCGATGTCCCATGGGCCGTCAGAAAGCCCTGCTTTAGGAGCAGGGATTATAACTCTGGTACTAAAACTGGAAGCAGAGTTTCTGGAAATTTCTTTCAGTTGAAGAAAAGATATAAAAAGTTTTTGCTTCTAGTTTTTTTTTGCTCTGACCTAACCTTGAGACTCATGAATTTCACAACAACAGATATTTACAGTGGTGGGATGTATTCACTTTCTACTCCACTGCATTTTTACAATTCCTCTGGTTACATGTTTGCATAGTTTTTATATATATATTTTTAGTAATCACAATGAGCAGGCAGGTTTAGACCCTCCCTCCTGCAGCAGCAGCTTCACTGGTGAAGAATCATTTCTAATGGATTTCCACTGCCCAGGCTCATTCATTAGTTATATGATACAACAAGTGATTCCACTATCATCATCTGCAGCATTCTTTATTAATCATGGAAAAGTTGGCTTCTAGCAGCTGTCAGTCCATGTGCATTCATGTGTTTTGGGGTTGCAGCTTTGCCGAGGGGGCAAATGTGAGAGGGCGGGATGTATTGGTGTAGCCTGCTCTTTTTACAACAACCCTAACAAGTGGGCTGTTCGGCTCTGGCCCTGTAAGACACAAAGGTTTTCTGAAACTTTTTTATTGAATATTTTTTATTTGACAGTTTGTTTTAACAGTTGGACTTAGATCAATTTCATCATCAGATTGTGGATCCATATATAGAATCATTAACATGTTTCAGTTATTTATGATATGTGCACTGTGGTCAGCCAATATTTGTTTTACAGAACAATTTAAAACTCAAAGTGTGTCGTCACCATATTTTATGTCTATAGTAAGATGTTGTTTTACGGTCATAACTAACCGTAGTGTAAACTGAGTATTAAGTCTAAACGCTGATGATTGACGCATGTCTTCTTCATCTGTCTTCACAGGACATGAGGAAACATGTGATGATGACCCTCTTGGACACGGAGCAGTCATATGTGGAATCTCTACGCACTCTCATTCAGGTGACACAATACAAATACTTCTGCTTATTACATCGCTTTATTATTGAGCTCTGAGCGCAATATGAATACACACATGTACACACAAAACAAACATGCACAAAAACCAACACACCATTGTGGATTCACACAATGCGAAGGACATGTATAACAAATGTAGGTAACAATGGTGTTATGTAATCCACTTATTGTTATTCATCCCGTCAAGCTAATCAGCTAACCCCACCACATCTCACTGTCATCAGCATTATCTGCTTGACACACAAACACACACACACACACACACACGCACACACTCTTCTATATCCAACATCTATGTGCATTTCAACGGCTAATTAACCTTTAACCCAAATCTTAACCACATCCCTCTCTCTCACTGTGTCACACACACACACACACACACACACACACACACACACACACACACACACACACTTCTTATCTTCCCTACCGGTGATCACCCAACAATGTTGAATAACCAGTCACTAGTTGTGTGTGTGGGTGAACATCGTGTGTGTTGATGTTTAAATGTGAGTGCATTTTTCTAAAATATGTGTTTTTTGTGAACATCCCACTTTGTTGAGCGTCGGTGTATACATGTGTTTCTGTGCGTGGACACAACAATGAATAATCCCGGCCTGTGTTCCCATGGCGACATAGGGAAAATAAGTGTTACCACGGTGACTGCAGTGTAAGTGCAAATCCCCAAAGAAGGGTGTCAGATGTGGTTCCGCTCCACAGCTGCACTGACCAATGATGAAAATGAATTTCTTTCATTTCATTTCTTTGAGGGACTTTTGTGGAAGGTTTCTGTATAACTGTATTATGAAATATTAAAAATCTTAAATGTTATTGTCTGACTTAGAACTAGTTACCTGGTCTGACATAAAGAATAAATATGATCTATTATCATCAAATTACATTTTTTATTATATGTGTAAAATAAATGAATGTAGTAATGTGAAAGGATATATTTCGATAATTTTTAAATGGTCACTTATTAACTGGTGGTTTTGTCCACTCAGGGCTACATGCGTCCTCTCAAACATCCGGACGGCGGCTCCATAGTGGACCCTCAGCTGGTGGACGAGATGTTTTACCAGATCCCAGAGATCCTGGAACACCACGAACACTTTCTGGAGCAGGTTGCCGGCTGCGTCAGCCAATGGCATGACAGACAAACCGTTGGACACCTCCTCATCCAATCAGTGAGTAGAGATGACAGTGAATTGGGTTTATGTCAACTGGTAAACAGAAGTAAAGCAGAGAAATCTCCAAATTTGAGGTCATTTAGAGGCAGCGTCTCTGTATCTTATTTTAAACTGTAAATGGGTCTTCTTGGTAAATATCTTGCTTTGAACTCTTATATCGCCTATTCAATGTAATGGATTCTATAAATAACTATTTATTATTTGTTTATGTTGAACTGATCCTTGTCATTGGCAGATGCAACAACCCAGGTTTGAGTGCTACTCTGGAATCCATGTTACTTGTCATACCTCTATACATTTACATTGCTGCTAGGTTGATGCAAAATACAGAAAAAAGATGATATATATGAAAAACATAGAAACTGTAGGAATGAATAGAGCACATGTATTAGCTTCTATACACAGAATGTCTTCAACTTTTATTCTGTACAATGGTGCTGCATTAAAGTACCAGAGCCTGAATAAGAAAAAGCATTACTGCCAGGGTCAATTGAAGGGAAGCTTTTTTATCTAGAGACTCTCTAGTTGGCAACAGAAGTTTTAATATTTTTGTTTTCCCGCTGACCTCTCTGCGACCCATTTGAAATTTCCCATGACCCAGAGGGTGGCTCTCAACCCAGACTAAGAAACACACGTCTGCAGCATCAGTGCTGAGCTAAATGTCCTGTTCTGGTGCTTGAGAATGAAAGAGAGGAGAGTTTCCATCCAGGCTGTTGGTTTTACACAGACTAAACCGGACAAATAGACAGAGACATGTTATAGAAGAGAGACAAATGCCATTTTCCTCCAGTTTCAATGCAGCGCTGTCACTGGTTTTGTGTTGGTCTTACTTTTCTGTTGCTCCTCAAACTGAACAAGGAGAAAATGAAGCAGGCAGAGACAAATGTACAGATTCATAATAACTTCGACTGTTATGTGTCACAGTATGAGAGACAGGAGAACTGGAGGAACTAAAACTGTGTGAGTCGTTTCTGTGGAAGCGGCTCCTGTCACTGCTCAGCCCCAGACCCCTCCCCCACCCCGCTCCTGCCGCTGGTCTTAAAGCTGCAGACACCAAAGTGGTGTCAGGCCTCGTTGGCGCAGTAGGCAGCGCGTCAGTCTCATAATCTGAAGGTCGTGAGTTCGAGCCTCACACGGGGCACTTGTTTTGTTTAGGTCTCCTACCTTTTGATGTGAGCGGTGGTTAAACACAGGTGGTGCAGCAGTTCATAGGAAATGTACAGTGTTCATAACCATAGTTCGTAACACAGTGTGTGGAAGCTTTTCATAGCACTCACTCTGCACCTCACCACAGTCATAGTGGTCTCCGCTGTGTCTGTTCTGTCTGTGCTGAGACAAACATTCATGACTGACTGACTCCCTCTCTGCCAAAAACACATGCATACTCAGAGACACGCATATAAACACATACATACTGACCAACATTAAAACCAGTGGGGTTTAAATGTCCTGAACTAAGATTAGCTAACATCCATCAAACTAAAGCACGTCGCTGACCTGATTTCATGTATGTCACTTCGGCTAATTATTCAAATCAACAAATTTTGATTTGATTATTGACAACTTCCTAATATTTCCATTTTTGTATGTGATGTTCTGTGATGCATGTTATTTAAAATGATGAACCTAAATTTGAGCATTGTACATCATCTTTACATTATCTACATCATTTAGTTTCCTTTAAGCTAAAAAGGTTTGACACCTTCTCTTTATAAAAGTTAAAAGAGCAAGGAATAAGATGTCTCCTGCTAAAGAATATCAAGTGTCGGCTTTTTAGTGTCGTTACTGTCCTCTGACGTCTTGTCTCTGTCCTCTTTACTGTGACTGAAAGATTGAGAAGAGGGGAGGAGACTGAGAGGACACTGGAAGATAAGTGATTGGAAAGAGGAGAGAGTCTGTGACAAATAGAAGAGGCTCAGATTATATCATGAAAGTGGGTTATTCTGTGAGGTCACATCAGACACCACACTGTACAACATGTCTGTTAACACACTTTCTTTCTCTCTCTGTTCCTGTCGCTGCTCTTCTTTTAAGCTCTGCCATTATTTGTGAAAATAAACCATGTCAGGGTGATTCATCTGTGTGTTTATGATTGTGATGAGAGACAGAGGATGGAAAAAGACAGATAGATGTAAGGACTCTCTAGTGCCAGACAAAACAAATTGAAAACCACTTGCACCACGGTTTCTTTGTTAATCTCTCCAATCACGTCTCAGTGACACGTACATGTGAGCTCATATTAGATTCAAGGGTACCAAAATATTAATGTAGCAACACTTATGTTATTTGTAAGACAACTATTATTTTGTTGTTTTTGTTGGTTGCTTAATCATATAGAACAATCTGATTATTCATTGTGTGTACTTATTTTACTAATAAATTTGGACCTCGCTGACAGATAATTAATCATTGTCATGTGTCTTTAATTCCATCTTTAATACTAATTCATTTATTTCATACCATCAGGATTGAGATGTTAGCAACAGCACGTAACAGCACCAGTTTATACCAATTTTTGGATATTTTAACTTCAGCTGTAATCAGATGCAATTTAAAACAACTCAACTTAACTCTTGTTTTTTTTCCCTCTTCTCTCCAGTTCTCCAAAGAGACTCTAGCTAATATGTATTCAGCGTACATAGACAACTTTCTCAATGCCAAAGATGCAGTGAGGATTGCCAAGGAGGCTAAGCCAGCGTTTCACAAGTTTCTGGAGGTGAGTGTTGGATGGAGACGCAGGATGTCTGGTTTTGTCTGAGTTGAAAAATGTGTCCTTGTTTGGAGGAAATACTCTTTGACCTTTTTTTTTAGAGCCTGAATGTTACCATGGTAATGAAGAAAAAAGACAATTTCAAAGAATAAATGAAAACTGAAGTGCTTTGAGAACTTGTCAGTGTTTGTGTATTTGTTAATATGTGTGTGTGCTTCCTGTATGCTTCTCCCTGTTTGTGTTCCCGTGAGAGTATGTGTGTGTGCTTCCTGTATGCTTCTCCCTGTTTGTGTTCCCGTGAGAATTTGTCTTAGAAGCAGAAAAACTATATTATCTAGCTCTAAAGTTGTGGCATATGAATTGAGAAATTACATTTTGTGAAAAATAATAATTAATTAAAATGAAAACACCCACTTTAAATTTGCCATTAAAGTCAAAATGTTTTGACAAAAGACCTGAAACCTGGTTTGTCTTCTAATACTCGATCACATTACATCAGATTTAATCCAAGAAACACACTTCTCTGCTGAATTTTAGTGAATGGCTTTTTTGTCCTGATCTGAAAGGACAGACAAATAATTGTCCATGAAATGTGCCACAAACCATTTCTTCAAACCCATTCAACCAGATAATTTAACTAAAAACCTGTGGATATGTTAGCAGTATGTCCAGTTAAATCTGGTAGACCGCTGTAGTACACATTGATACTGTGGTCTGCCACCAGAAATAAATGTAGGGGGGAAAAACTGAGCTCTGATGCAAAAATGTAATCAGGCACCACAGAAACCTGTCATGTCCTCATCCTGCTCTCAGTTTACAACCGCACTGAGCTTCATGCCAGACAGGGGTTTTCACTGTGGAACCACTGCGCCATCTGGAGGTGGAGCAGCAAAGTGCAATACTTGTTCATTAAATCTCAGTTGTTCTCTCTCAGATCTGTCCACGCTTCATGTCTCATTCTCCTTCTTCCTTCATCCCAACAGCAAAACATGCGTGAGAACAAGGAGAAACAGGCTCTGGGGGATCTGATGATCAAGCCGGTGCAAAGGATTCCTCGATACGAGCTGCTGGTTAAGGTGGCGTGTCTCAATATATAACTTTAATAATAATTTAATAATAACTTTAACTATAATCTACTTTCTACATGCTATATGTAGCCTTATTCTGTGTTTAGTGTGACATTAGTTTTACATAATGTATATTTGTATTGCTTTTCATCCAGGACCTGCTCAAACACACTTCAGAGGACCACCCAGACCACCAGTTTCTACTGGACGCCCAGAGGGACATCAAGCGACTGGCCGAGAAGATCAATAAGGGACGTCGCTCGGCCGAAGAGGCAGAGAGGGAGACCCGGGTCATTCAGGAGATCGAGGCGCACATAGAGGGAGTTGAACATGTAAGATATTTATTAGATAGTTTATAGTTATTGTATAGGCAACTTCAGAGCAGTAACTAAATACTATTTGAATTTTCGATGACAAAAATCTGTCTTACACTTAGAAATATAGAATATAGGCAGTTTTTGTCTGAAAAATGAGCTTAAAATGTATGAATTAAAATAGTTGCTGATTGGTTTTCATCTGGCTTCCTGATTGACTATTAAACTATTTATTCCAGCTCTCATCTCATTTAATTCTGCATTGTTCTGTCGGTCACACTAAAGGAACAATGAAGAACAAGCAAACTGTTACTGCAATGTTTGTCTGTCGTTATGATTTATGTACAACCCTACGACTCGTTTTGGCTCTTTATGGTACTGTAATTGCTTTTCTCTCTCTGTTTGCGTTAGATTCTCAACCCCCAGAGGAAGTTCCTGAGACAGGAAATGGTCATGGAGGCGGTAAGAGATACTTTCTGACCTTGAAAAAGTTTGCAGTAAATTAACATACAGTTGTGTAATCGCTTGGAAAATAGGTCAAAATATAAGAAATGATTTGAGTTAAGAGGATTAGAAACTAACCTCTTTCATATGTCCTACACTTCCAACAAGTCATGCAGTAAAATTAATAATATTGTCTTTATCTTTTTAATCAATAACGGCTGATATGATAAATATCCTGAGCTCTTCTTCTGTCTTTTCTCTTTCTGTAGAAGACAGTGGGTGGGAAGAAGGACCGTTCTCTCTTCCTCTTCAGTGATCTGATCATCTGCACCACCCTCAAGAGGAAGTCTGGCTCGTTAAGACGCAGCTCCATGAGCCTGTGTGTAACACATGCACACACACACACACAGACACACAGACACACACACACACACACACACACACACACACACACACACTCTGTGGGGGTTTCAGCTTGCATCTTAACAGGGTTTCTAAACAATACTGTGCCCCCTGGTGTTGGACACGAGGATATACAGACATTTTTTTTTACAATGTTTGACAAAGTACACCATAATATTTTCCCCTTTTCTCCCTCACACGTTTCTCTCCATCTCCTTCTATCTGCGTCTCTGTCCTTCTCAGATACTCTGCTGCAAGTATGATCGACACTTCCAGTAAATACAAGTTCCTGTGGAAACTTCCTCTGGAGGACGTAGAGGTGGTGAAAAGTAAGACTTGTGTTGTAAGATCGTTGAAAAACTCCAGAAACCTTATAACTTTTTGCAGATATTTGCATTAGAAATTAGTTGTTAATATCTTTGTTCAAAGTCTCCTTTATTGAATTTCAGAATAAACATTTAATCAATGGAATCAGAGTCACTGAGACAAATGGCCTTTTGTCTCATCTTTTGTCGATTTTAACGCTTCATCTAAATTAGTATTTCAGGAAAACTGTCCAGGAAACTGTTGTAATAATAATAACAATAATGAAAATAATAATAATAAGCTTTAATTAAATTGCACATTTCAAATCACAGCTACAAGTTCCCTACAAGTTAAAAATTAAAAAATGAAGGAAACAGTTGAAAAGCAAGCAATAGAAAACAATTAAATGCAAAGAGCAATAGAGCACAAATGCAGAAATAGAAAATGAGAAAAGATTAAAAACAGATAAAATAAATCCTAATCATCTGTCTTGAAGACAGAAGTTAAGGTTTGGTTTTCTGACTGTTTGTTCCTTCAACAGGCTCCATGCAGGCAACCAACAAGGAGAACATCCAGAAGATGATTAGTCGATTGGATGAGGATCTCAGTACGTTGGGTCAGATCAGCAAACTGTCCGAGACCCTCAGCTTCCCACACCAGGTATTATCACTGTTTTTGTCTTTTATGTTGTGTTTTAACCTCTTCTCCTCTCTTGTGCATCAGTCCCTCTTAAAGCCCATTCCTATATAATCACAACAGAGGTTCAGCGGGAGGTTGCGATGACTGTTTATTTCATCTGTTCTTATTGATTTCCATCTCTTTCAGTCCCTAGACGAGGTGATAAAGGATCTGATGGCGTCCGTGCACAGGGAGCTGTCAGAGAAACAGTCTCTGGCCTTCAGTATGACCTTCCTGCCCACAAAGCTGGAGTTTACCACAGTGTCTGCAGAGAGCAGCTTTGTGTTCGAGTTTACGTCACCTGACACACGCTCCAACTTCGAACAGGCTTTTGAAGATGCCAAGAGGAAACTAGGTCAGTGAAAAGCTTTATTCACATCAGTCAAATCAAAGATACTTTATTGTCCCCATGGGGAATATTTCCTCGGCCAAAGTGCTGCAGTTTTTGTCTACAGAACAGTACATTGTGTAACAAATAACAGTACACAAGGAAATACCATGTAAGACAAAAAAGATAATGCAGAATGAAAGTGAGTTGAATATTGCACCTGCCATAAAAACCCTTAAGAAGATAAAACCCTTAAAAAGAGATAACATAAAAGATGAAAAACAAAACTGGCATTGATGTAAAATGTGCCAGACAAAGTGCAAAAATTATTAACCTTTGTTTGAAACTAAATAGGATTGTATAAGACACCAGGAGAACTGAAATTTCCTGAAACAAATTATTTATCATCATATTGTCAATGACTCTGAAAAAGTTTTCTTTTACTGTTCAGCCATGAATAAGGACCAGTGGGACCCAGAGTTTCTGAAGGCAATCCCCATAATGAAGACACGTAGTGGAATGCAGGTGAGAGCAACAGAAGCTATGTCACACATGTAGACATTAGACAAAGTGATCTTTGCCACTATACAAAAGTCACATCCATTCATATTCTGCTTGTCTGTCTCCAGTTTTCATGTGCGTCTCCAAGCCACAGCAGCCCGGACAGCGGTTGTGAAGTGTGGGTGTGTAACAGTGACGGATACGTAGGACAGGTGAGAAAAAAATACTACATAAATGCCAGTTATTAACTACGTGCTAAGTACTCCTGGTGACAATACACACTGACCAATTTACAGGTCACTGTTGTGAGGCTCATGATGATGATGATGATGATGATGATGATGATGATGATGATTCCTCTGCAGGTGTGTCTGCTGAACATCAGAGACGAGCCCACAGTGGAGGCCTGTATCGCTGTCTGCTCGGCGAGAATCATCTGCATTGCCGCTGTACCAGGACTCAAGGGAAGGTCAGTGGACGCACACACACTTGCAAATACACACAATTACAGTGGTGCAGTTTGAATGAACAAAAGAACGAGTAGTCTGTGAAGCCTTGAATTGAAATAGATTTTCAAATCAGTGAGACCCTTCTTTCTCATATTCCTCTCTGTTGTGCTACACAATGTTTCAAAAGTCTATTTTCAAAGTCTCATAAAATATAAATATATAAGGAAAGGTCTGAATCTATTATTATAAAAGGTTGTCATAGGATTTCAAGAGTGTCCACTGTGGCAAATATGAGCTTTATCTAAACAGATCAACAGTCGTCCAAGTTAGTCCACAATACAATTTCTGAATAATTATTAGCCCAATATTGAAGTCAGTTATTACTTAATTGTAACAAACGATGTCACGTGGTTAAACGTGTCATCAGGTTATCATCAGTGTAACTTTCAGCCTATTTTTAGGATAACATATATTTTCCTTTGCCTCTTTGTTTTTTTCTTTCCTTCTTTTTTCACTTATACACACACAACTGAGGCACTCTCTCACCTCGCTGTCAGATTAGCATATTCACACGGGTCTCAAGTTTCCATCGCTGCCGCTCAGACCCAGAGGTGATAAAGACCTGTGTCCACTATAGAGTCATGTGACCACGTAGTAAATGCTGATAGTATTTGTTCTCATTGCAGATAAAGAACAGATGTGTGTGTGTGCGTGTGCGTGTGCGTGTGTGTGTGTGTGTGTGTGAGAGCTCAACATACAAAAACTGACTGTAGTGACACCTCCACATGTTGGGTGTTGTCTGTGCCATTAACCAATCACTCATCACCTCAGAGAGCGTGGATCAGAGCCCGCCCCTCCCTCCAGAGCCCCTGGTCAGCAGCTGCACATATCGATCTCTCATTCAGCTCTGGAGCTGACCGAGCGACCTACAGGTTCGTCCATTAAAGTTTTGCAACACGACAAGCAGCAACAGTTTGTGTGTCGACTGATCAACTAATTGATCAGCTGATTGATTCATTTCCAGGACCAGGGGCGGAGCTTGTTCCGTTCGACAGCGATGACACAGATGACGAGGATTCACCCAGTCCTTCGTCCACTCTACAGAGTCAGGCCAGTCATTCCACCATCTCATCCAGCTATGGCAGTGAGTTCAAATGAATAATTCACACACACGCGCGCACGCACGCACGCACACACACACACACACACACACACACACACACACACACACATACACACACACACACTATACTAACACAACCCTAACCCATAACCCACCCTAACACTCTGCTTTATCTGTTTTAAAGATGACGAGGGTCCAGGCTCCAAAGACATGGCCACAGAGACCACCAGCAGTGAGGAGGAGCAGGAATTCCCAGTGCCAAGTTCTTATGGAGCTCCGGGGATGTTAGGGGTCCGCGGAGGAAGTCGTACCCAGACAGACAGCCCCATGGACGGCCGCGCCATGCGCCGGTCCTCCCGTGGCTCTTTCACCAGGGCGAGTCTGGAGGACCTGCTCAGCATCGACCCAGAGGCCTACCAGAGCTCAGTGTGGCTGGGCACAGAGGACGGATGGTGTGTGGTGCAGCATCACATGCACACTCAACTTACTTGTTTTTTTAATCAAACATCTTAAAAAAACCTATAACCAAAATGTTTCCAGTGAACAAATCATCAGATATGAACTCATAATTCTCTTCATGGTTCTGTGTCTGTTAGCATCCACGTGTACCAATCCTCGGACAACATCCGCAACCGTAAAAACAGCATGAAGATGCAACACTCAGCCTCCATCCTCTGTATACTGTGAGTCAAGATATCACTGGAATTAAAGCTGTATAAGAAAAATATTATTCTAAGAAATGAGTTGGGATTAAAAGAGACATGATGCACCTGTGGTCATGTAGTTTTTTTTTACCGTCTTTATTCATTCATTTTCACATTCTTACTTTGTTTTGTCTTCCTCAGGTTTTTGGACAACAAAGTGTTTGTGTCTTTGGCCAATGGAGAGGTGATCGTCTATCAGAGAGAAGCAGGTAAGCTGAAGTGTGGACATTGTCAGAGTAAGGAAGAATCAAAAACACACTTGAGCTGTTTTCAGACATGAACTCCAGGTGTGCAGTTGACATGAATTGGGTGCGGAGTCTCACTGGAGTTTGCCCTTTCACATATAAACAATGCAGCAGGAGATTCTTCGGACACACAGAAATCTCTGTGACGTTGATGGGTGGAGAGGTGGCGTGTTCTCATATACAGCCACTCAGGAGAGTGTCAGGAGATTATCTGCAGTACAGTCTGAAAGCAGCTTTAGCCAAAGTTGTTTTTGACAATCAGTTATAGTTCTTTTTTTTTCTTTTTTTAATTAATTAATTAATTTCTTGAATCCTCTGTAGTCTGCATACATTGTCAGAGAGGGTCTTAAAATAATGACATCAGGTTTCAGTACCACTGTTGCTTATCGTGACAGTTAAGAAAAAATCAGCATTCTACCTTACTTATAATTTTTTACCCCAATCAACTATAAAGACTAATGCAAATACATCTAAAGATTTCTCTCTAGTATCAAACCCTGTTCTTGTCCACCTCACTCTGCAGGCAGTTTCTGGGACCCTCAGTCTTCTCAGACGTTAGTTCTGGGCTCACCCACTAGTCCTGTCACCAAAATGGTTCCTGTGGGTGGGAAGCTTTGGTGTGGCTCACAGAACAGAGTCCTCATTATCAACACGAGTACGCTGGTACAAGAGGTGAGAACTGTCAGATGTACAAGGATCAAATCAAAAGATGTGTGTGGAATAAAAAATACGCTCATAGACTGAGGAATGTGTTTAACACTTCTTCCCTCCCATCTGTCTCCCTTCCTTCCTCCCAGCACTGGTTCCAGGTGGGCTCTGACAGCAGTCGTTGTGTGACGTGCATGGTGGCGTACGGTCAGGGGGTGTGGCTGGCGTTGCAGGGCAGTGCGCAGGTCAAACTGTACCACGCTCTGACCTGGGAGAGCCTGACAGAGGTGGACATGGCGCCTGCTGTGCACAAGATGCTTGCAGGTAAATAAACATGAACAAAATGTGTATGTAGGAGCATGCGCACTTGTTTGTTGGTATTATTTCCCTTACAGATGTCAGAAGCAACTAATATACCTCAGCTTTTACCTTAAAATGTTTTGTGAAGTGAATATAGCAATAATTTAGTACCAATCTTTTAATTTCCTCCTTGAAATGTTCACTTTTCCCATCACCCTGCGTATCCATCACCCTCCTATTAACCCCATCCTTTATGATAAATAAAGTTCTTCTTCTCCATTCAGGTGCAGATGCGATCATCAGACAGCACAAAGCCGCCTGTCTGAGAATCACAGCATTGCTGGCCTGTAAGGATCTGCTGTGGATTGGCACAAGTGCAGGTAGTCTAATATATCCTGGTCTGGGAATTATTATCCAAAAGTACATTCACATACAAGCAGCAATTTAAAAAGTCATATGCAATACACATACAAAAAATGTCTTAATGTTTTTATTTTAAAGATTCAAAATGGGTCAGTAAGAAACATAACTTTGGGATTTTGGAATGGCCTCAAACCCTTTTCTTTAAAATCTGAAGTTCTACTTAAAATGTATTCAAAAACATAAAATGACATGGTTTATAAATGTTATCCTGTTAGTGTACTTTGGGTGTGAGGTCAGTGTGGAGTTGTTGAAGTGTTTTAAATGGTTCCTTGGATTGAAAAACACACCATATCTCAAGAAGGTGTTGCTCTACAGGGGTGGTCCTTACATTGGCGATCCCAGCAGTGAGCTCAGGAACCGGGGCTGGGACTCTGAAATATCCCCTGGTGCCCATGGGCTCGGCTCACGGACACACAGGCCACGTTCGATTCCTGACATCAATCGAACTACCAGAAGGGTTTGACATGAACTTTCCACTTCCAACAACGGACTCCACAGGTTTTTACGTTTACGATTCTTGGTGTTTTAACTTTATATATGTTCAACTTTTTCTATATTTTAAATATTAACAGAAAATATATCCACAAAACAGAAACGTGCCTTTCTCGACCTTCAACCCTTCCTCTCTCTTAGGCAACCAGTCACAGAGCAGCAGCACTGTTGACGGAAACCTTCAAAGGCGTGACTCTGCACGCCGCAGGGCCTCCGCTCACATCCCTCCAAAAACTAACCATCTAGTCATTTCCGGCGGTGACGGCTATGAGGACTTCAGGCTGACTAACAGCAGCGAAACTGTCGGACGGGACGACAGTACCAACCATCTTTTGCTTTGGAGGGTCTGAGACAATCTAACCAGTCAGTTCCCCACCTCTCGCTAAGAATGCCGCACAAGCTACCCTCACTTTTCCTGCCATGGAACTTCTCACTTTTTGTTGTTGTTGTTTTGGTCTTCTGCTCGGTCCACTGGTCTCTATGTGCATAATATGGCTGTCAACCCCCCCCCCCCGAACTTGAATATGATCACTTCAGACCCAGTTTTCTTGATTCAGTTTTCTTGACCCTGTTTTCTTGAGTAATGTGTCTGATGGTGTGTTTTGATCCTCACTGTGTGACATCTGTACGTGTGTATTTGAGACAAATCAAATTATGACATCATGACAGGAGGACATTTACATGAATGTGGACATGAACAAAGCACGTGGACATTTTCTCTGGTTTTCTTTGACTTTGACGTCAGCCTTTTATGCCTTCAAAATACCATGACAAAATATATGAATATCTACAAATGAATCATACTAACTGATGGTAGTTTCATCAATATTCTGAGTTTTTGCTTATTTTCACTACTTGAGTTCAAGCAAATCAATGTCTCTCAACTTCTGGAATAGAAAAGGACAACTTATTTTGCTCCTTAACCAGGTCTGGACAACATCATTCAAATGCAGTATTGGTTATCTAAGGTTATAATCACATGCATACATTCACCAACATTAATGCACAGCCTTCACGCGCTGAATCAGACATTTGTGAGAAACATAAATGTCTATTTAACACGGATAATCCCATTGTATCCATTTTACATTTACAACATGAACGTAGATGAAGCAGTGTCCCACTACTGGTAGAAAACTTTTAATATCACGGGATCTGAGAAAGATTTTCTTTGCCATTGAACTTCAATTCAGGAGGGTAATCAGTACTTGTTTCTGTAGCAGAGATGACGCTTGGCTGTGGTAGCAGATAAAGAGAGTCACAGTATGTACAGTATTTATGGTTTAGATTTTAGAGCCTTCTTTTACAGCACTTAATTTATAGAAGATGTAGCTTTCACTTTTTTTCGGTTTGAGTTGGAGAACGAGGAGACTGTGGCCTGAGCAGCAGGTCAGATAATCCAGCATCATTTGGCTGGTTTACAGATGCAGTCCGCTCATGTTGTGTTACGATGCACAGTTCAGGGTTCTTGTTTAGATAGTTCCATATATGTAGAAACAGGACTAGAAAATAGAGGGGTCTTGAGGAAATGTTCTGTTTCGCTATAAAGAAACGTACCAATGCTCCAAAATTCACATCATATTGTTTCTTACACTGTGCGCCTGAGAGCCTTCAGAAGTCTAAAAGTTAAGTGTTTCCAATAGTGAAATGTCAGCTCACGGCAGATGTCTGTGGAAGTGAAGGACACACACGTTAGCCTCAGGCTTCAGGGTTAAGCAGCGATTGTCCTTTGATCCCAAGCCTAGAAAATCTCACTGCACCTTAACCAGCCATCTGCACGCTCAGCTTTCTTCATTCACATTAGGTTAACTGTGAGCAGGGCTAAGAGGATCAGCTGATCATTGTGATAGCTGCTAACTAGCTCGTGAGCTCTGTGCCTCTGTAAGTGGAAAAGTGGAATGGTCTGCGTAGCTCACTGTGTTAAGAGCTGAAAATAATAAAAAGGAGCTTGTTTGTTATCTTTTGCCCTCAACTGAGGCCAAAGTCCAGTTAGCTTGTGGTAGCATGTAAAAAAAAAAATACAGCAGAGGAAAGTCTGAGAAACTATAGGTAAGCATTTGGGAAGTTAGCAAACATTTGGTGTCTTGTCAAGAGTTACACGAAAAGAATGATACCGCTCTAATGTTTGATGAAAAGCTACAGCCAGGATGTGGTTAGCTTAGCAGAGCACAACTACCGGAAATTCGGTGAAAGCTAGCATGGTGAAAAACTGGCTACCAACACATCTAAAGACAAATCATGGTGTGTTTCTGTGTAAAAACACATTATAGCTACGTTACGTTCTTTCCTGGCAGACTCCATTGACTTCATGGGGTGTTTTAATTCTACACAATTCTTGCAGGCTTCATGCTAAGCTAGGCTAACAGTCTCCTGATGGTAGCATTTCAAAGATTACGAATGAATATGTCAATCTTTGTCCTGTAATGTTGAGTAAGCAGCTCGGTGTACGGTTTTGAATGTTCTGTATGATTCACTGCAAAGTTTACGTTTGTGTTCTCGATGCCAAGAGCTGCCACTTTACCGATGAAGATGCTGTTTATCTATGCTGGCCGTAGGGCAACGTGTTGCAGAATGAATTGAGCAGCACAAGAAGCGTTGCACATGGTGGTGGGAAAACTGCTTAGTTTGACTGCTCTGTTCAGGATTTGCTGCAATTGTTGGAGTCAATAACTTTCAAAAATAGAGATTTTCTTGAAAACCAGCCTTAATAATATACATTTACATTTCCTCAGCAGTGACATAAGAAGCAGTGATTGAATAATCCCGTTTTCTGCAGCTGCATCATAGGTTTTGGCCCTTGAAATCTCTTCATGCAAACATGCACACAAACACACTGCGTCTTAGATATGAAGTCAAACTCAATGCTTTTTGACCACTAGAAAGAGAATGAACAATATTTTGTGCCAAAAAATACAAGATTCACACGTTTATTTTCACCATCACATCAAACTCACCATATCATCACTAACTTAACCAGAAACCTTTGAATAACCTCCTCATGTCATTAAGTGAACAGTCTTTATTGTTGTAAATATTGGTATATATTGCCTTTTTTCTGTAAATAGTGCACCCACGGTCCTCAATTGTTCATATGAATCTAATGGCATATTTTTTATATATTTGTGTAAGGTTTGTTTTTTTTCTGCTCCCTCTGGCATGTGCTGTCACTCACGTTTAAATTATATATGTCATGGATCTTTCCAGAAGGAGACAAGATGGCTTCTGTTGTGACTGAAGGAGTTTGGTGATGTTGACTTGTTACAGATGTCTACAGAAAGAAAAAAAACTACCGCGTGGTCATAACTCTGTGTATCTCTGGTTGACATCTTGCAGTTGTCATGGTTACAGTTGATCAGTTTTTTTCCTGTACCTTGCTGTTCTTGTTTTGTCACTGTGGGTTTCTCTTTGTAATTAAATCAGTTCACTGGTGCCACTTTGTGTGTATTTGTTTTTGTGGTTCTCTTAGAATTGACAGCATACAAAGAAAGTTTCCTGATAATACAGCCTAAAAAGTATTAGTACCTGTACCAATAAAACTGATAATATCTAGTATTTCCTACTGCCACTTTAATGTAGATAGGGGAGTATGCAGGTATTGTATAATGATTTCCCAAATATAGGTTACAGGGTCTGATGTATCAGCTGGATACCTGACAATATGTTGCTAATCACAATACTAATGTGCAATGCTCACTTTTACCAAGTGCCTAAACTGTCATCAATTCATCGATTGGCCAGTCATTTTATTTTTACCTATTTTATTTCAGTAAAACCTTAAAAACTTGCAGCCTCTCAAAGGTTAAGATTCTTGCTGCTTAGTCTTGAATAACTGTCAACTGAAAACCTTTGGGACAAGGAATGAGATAGAATTGAAAAACCATTGTCATACAAAATCATGACGGGTGTTTATTTACTTTATTTTACAATTATCTGAGTAAAAAAATATGAATCTGCAAAATGACTTATAATGGAAATTATAATTTGTTGTAGCACTTCTTTTGCAAAAACCTGTAATGTGGTGCCACCAAGAACTTAAAATGAGACACTCATGGTCATTTTCACTTTATTTAAAATTATGTAGAAAACTTTCCGATCCAGCAATGTGCCAGAGCTGTGTGCTGAAAACCAGGTTGGTCATAAATAGTTTTTGTCATTGGATATAAAATAATGACTTATTTCTGGTCCACTTTTAACAGAAACAATTTTGACGCTCTCCTCGCCTCCAGTCGACAGCAGCTTGACCATAACACAGAGTTATCAGTGTGGTTTCTACCATCACGCTTCAGTGTCACTCCACTATTCGTTTCACACTAACCCACTGAGCCATACTGTGGTGTATTGTGATATAACAGCACTGCAGTGTGTGGAGGAAAACTGTGAATGCAGGCTATTCAGAACACAAATGCTACGACTTCTCTGCTCAGGAACACACACATGCACGAGTTACAACCCACTCACACATTGACCCACACACAGCGTTCAGATGTAGTAAACAGTGAAGATCTGTGTGATGAATGAAAGAGAGTAACACACAGATTTATCTGTGTCTCAGCAGAGTTACTCACTGAAATGACTCATGGTTCATCCCACAGAAAGAATGCGGGCCAGAAGAAATCTCCTTAATTCACTGCTGCACTGCTATAAACCAGTGCTGATCCTCAACAGACGCTGATTCAAAGAACAAGACGTATACAGCGAGATCTGAATCAATCTATATCAAGAAAATATGACATAAAATGATCAAAATGTAAAAGTTAAGGGGGAAACGTAGTTGTAATAAACTGAAACATTTGCTTTTGATGCTCATTGGGTGTCAGACTGTGCCCAACATCATTAACAGCATCCTATTGATTCGACTACAGTCTAGTATCCAATATAACCCAAAGTATCACAACCCCAAATCTGTACACTTTTCTCAATCTAAACAAGCTCAGCCTGATCAATCATCACAACAGCAGAGATATATATTCATATTATCAATAAAGGTATATTCAAAAATATTTATATCTGCGCAACCCTCACTTGTTGGGGGGCTGAGACACTTCCCAACAAACCCTGTTAAGAGGAAAGTGGAGAATATTGTTGAAGGGATCATTTAAACCTAGATTTCAGCTAATAAATTCATATAAGTTAAATGTATACGTCAACAGACGAGATGAATTGTTAAATCATTTGACAGCTCAGGGAGTTTCCTTGTTTGATGACTCACTCGTGTGTGTGTGTGTGTGTGTTGCAAATCTTTAAGGTGCAACCTGTGACTATGACTGAGTTCACATCCTCCTCCAATGGAAACCTGAAGACCTTTTGGACTGAAGACATTCTGACACGTCCTAATGTAGGAAAATAACAGGTGTAAATATTAAAATGAATGATGGCTGGGTTCCATTTAGCTGCTTTCCTGTCAGGGTCCTGTGGATGTGAAAGTCTCACTGTCACTGGGAAAACAAGAACTGAACAGAGCCATCATTGATGTGAGGTTATGTTTTCACCCGTGCCTGTCTGTTTGTGAACTGGATTACGCAAAAATTACACAACCAATTTCCATTAAACTTGGTGGACAGGTCTGGGATAAACGCATTACATTTTGGCATGGATGCAGATTGAGAAGTGGATCCAGAACATTTATTTTTTCACTTTCTGTAACTTTGCTTAATGACAAACAAAGTTGAAAGTAGATTTTCTTTGGTCTTTTATATTTCTACTATTAGAGCTAGACAAGCGTGTGTAGCATTGTTCAGCCCTGGTGGAGGTATGAGCTGTACTGAGTGTCAGCCTAGTTATATATAGGTTTTTTCACAGCAGACATTTTGTCATGTCGTCAAAATGTCTGCTGTGAAAAAGACCTATATGAAAGTTGACACATTTTTTTGTTTCGATTTTTTGTCCTTTATGTGATGGATTGTTCTATAAACTCATGTTCATTTATCATGTTGGGTCATGTATTTAATCTTGAATCTCTCTATGTAGGATCACCTGCAGCAGTTAAGAGTTTACAGTACCTCCAGGTTGTGAGGCACATGCTGGGCAGACAGCAGCCGACAGAGGGGGTTTAAACACACACACACACACA